CTTCAGATTTCTGAAGAAGGGTCTAGGCCTGAAACGTCAGCCTTCCTGCTCCTCTGATGCTGCTTGGCCTGCTGTGTTCATCCAGCTCTACACCTTGTTATCTCAGGTAGAGTAAGGGGTCTGGGTGGGATGCTCTTCAGAAGGTCAGTGTGGACTCATTAGGCTGAATGGTCTGCTTCCACATTGTAGGGATTCTATGATTTAACAGAGATGCTAATCTTTCTAAAAGAAAAGAAGTCACCCATTATTTAAAAGCATTTGTCCTTATCTGAGAAACATTTATAGAGTTGGTTTAAATGCTCATGATTTGCAGTCTATTCTCATGCAATCGTTTACAAGAGCCTAAAATTGTGAGATATCTTAACTGAATTAGGTTTTCTTTATCCCACTGTTACACTCCAAGAAGAATCAGGAGGCAGAACTGTTAATAGCAGTAGCTTTATTGTGGAGGTATTCACTCTACAGGAAACAAGGTTGAAGAAAGAGAGAGAGCTATTTGACCTCCCAAACGGTTGATGATGTCATCATTATGTCACGTGGTTGGACTCAATGTGTCAGTTCACCACGCACACACAAATACACAACACCTTTGAACTTCAGACTTTAAATTGTAAGTGAGCTGGATCCAAAAACTGCCTTCTGGTTTGTTTCATTTGTTTGTTTGTATTATTTTTTCTCTGAACTGTTCTGTTTTATGAGGTTTAGCCAATCCTTTTGGCTTCTCAGCAAAAGATGACTGGATTGGGAGTGAACTTGATGTGTTTGGCATCTCATTTATCATTCTGTTTTTTTCAGAGCATATGCTTTGAAAGTCATGATGATTTTGTTCAGACTTCACTTCTTAATGAAAACGAACAATAATTTGTCCGACTTATCCACATTGCTAACTACTTCTGTTCTTGATGAGTGATAATGTCAAATATGGATAGCTATGCCATGATTACTGTAGGACTATTGAGTGATAATCGCAAATGATAACCTGAATTAATTGTCCTACCAGTTACAAATCTAAAACTAGATTAAGTGTAATAGTTTTAACTGATATGCCATGTGCAATAATTAATCTGCATGATGTGTTCTTGAATGAGTACCATTTCAGGTGAGCAGCTTGTTACTCACAGAGGTGATGTGCATATCTTAAATGGAAAACATCACACCCATGCACGTGATGGTACAACGTCCTCTCTATCAGGTCCTGAGGTTCATATCCAGTTAACTCCGCAACCCTGATAATAAAGACAAATAAAATCGCAAATTACTTGCAATGATGCAAGTAATAGTGTAGTGATATTATCATTAGACTAGCAATCCACATCCTCAGGCTAATGTTCTGTGACATGGGTTCAAATCCTGCCATGATAGATAGTGAAATTTGAATTCAGTACAAAGCAGCAATAAATATTAATGCCAGCCACGGTCAATTGTTGTACAGACCCATCTGGTTCACTGAGTTCCTTTTGGAGAAAGAAATATGCTGTCCTTACCTAGTCTGCCCTATATGTGATTCCAGACACTGGATAACATGGTTGACACTTAACACTGCAATTATGTATGGCCAATAAATGCCAATAAATGTGATGCCCATACTCCATGAATGAATTTAAAAAATGAAATAAAGTCAACTAGTTCATGTGAGTCGAGGCTTTGCATGAGAGAAATAAAATAAAAGAATGAAATGTATTGTGAAACAATTGGTTTGGTGGGAATTATAATATTGTGAGTCTTATTTTGGTGCCTTATTTCTTGAAGCGTTTTAGATCACAGTGGAAAAGAAAACATGGAGGAAACCAGATTTTTGAGGTTTAGGCCTTAGTAAGAAACAACAGAGCGAACGCTTTTTTCATTGGAGCAGATAAAGGGGAAGAGAAGAGTTGCTCAAAGTTCCTATGAAACGGAATTAAGTGATTAGGTTTTCTAAAAAGTTGCCTCCAGTGCTGTGGAATAGGCCCATTGTAAGGGAATCCATGGACTCCTGCAATTTCACCATTAAATATATGTAAATATAATGTGTGATTTAAGTATACTTTTAATATCATTTTCTGTAAGTTTGGGTTCTTGGGTTCTAGGTTAGTGAGATACATGAGTTTTTCTGTGAGTCTGAAGTTAAAAATTAACTTGTAAGTATTTCTGGCCATAGTAATTTCTTGTAAAATAGTTTTTGAGGCTTAGCTATAGAATTAATGGATTTTACTTCCAAACAAGAGAAACCAGCTCCAGTTTAGAAAGTCAGGAGAGGATTTTTCAAGCTTAAGGGAGAGATTTCTTTGGTTTTACTTAGAATTTTTAGCAGTCCTGAAAAGTTCTTGGATTAAGATGGCAATATAGACCAGAATTACTGAGAAAGGACAGGTATAATGAAACCAGATTACCCTAGGAGTTGGGAGGTCATGTTGCAGCTGTACAGGACATTAGTTCAGCTACTTTTGGATCAGTGCGTGCAATTCTGGTCTCCCTCCTATAAGAAGAATGTTGAGAAACTAGAAAGGGTTCAAAAAAATTTACGTGGATGTTGCCAGAGTTGGAGGGTTTGAGCGGTGGGGAGAGACTGAATAGGCTGAGGCTATTTTCCCTGGAGTGTTGGAGGCTGAGGAATGACCTTATAGAGGTTTATAAAACCATGAGGGACGTGGATAGGGTAAATAGGCAAAGTTTTTATCCGGGGTGTGAGGGTCCAAAACTAGAGAGCATAGGTTGAAGGTGAGAGGGGGAAAGATATAAAAGGGACCTAAGGGGCAACTTTTTCACACAGAGGGTGGTACGTGTATGGACTGAGCTGCCAGAGGAGATGGTGGAGAATGGTATGATTACAACATTTGCAAGGCATCTGACGGGTATATGAATAGGAAGGGTTTAGAGGGATGTTGGCTAAATGCTGACAAATGGGATTAGATTCATATAGGATATCTGGTCATCATGGGTGATTTGGACCAAAGGTCTATTTCCGTGCTGTATATCCCTATGATTCTAGAGTAAAGAGTAAATGGTAAACTCAGACAAGATGTGTTGGTATAAAACCCTGAAGAAATTACTTAAAGTTGCATACATTTAGGTTCAGATGTATCATAACTCCAGGAAGAAGCTATAAGAAGTTCCAGTCTAAATTAAAGTCACATGTGTTTAAACCTACTAGATGGTGGAGACAGGGATGAAGACAGTACAGTTAGTGCTGTATGGATGGTGTTTTTGGGCATTATGCAAGGTGTATTTTGGATGCTGTACAAAAGCTGTTGTTTTTCTTTTCAATTTATAAAGGATTGTTTGGGGATTAATAGTTTTATGCTTTTACTGTGTTTTAAAAAAATCTTTGAATTTGTGACATAAGTAGATAGTTTATTCTATTTTACCTTCATTTTTCTGTTAATAAACTTGTTTTATTGTTAAAAAGCATCTACACCAATGCATGCTTATGTTTTAGTGAGAGACCACTACATTAAAATCAAACCAAAATAAAATATAATCTATCAAGCCAAGTTTTGGTCTGATCTTGTCCTATAATAACATCATCTAAGATCAAAGGCTGAAGCATTGCATAAGATTGACAAAAAAAGGCCCAGTGGAGTTGCCAGGAGTGGTAATAAACCTCAGGACGATTGTGGAAGACAGCAACGGAGGACCAAGTGACTGGTAAAGAAAGGGAGAACACAGTGTGAATCCAAATGAGGAGGAAAGAAAACATAAAAACAGGCTGTAAAAGCTTCTGTAGGTGCGGGAAGAAGGATCGTTGACGAAGACAAAGGCGAGTTCGTTACAGGATTTATAACTGGGTACAGCGAAATGATGTCTTTGTGTCTGTCTTCACTGAGGAGAATACAAGGAATCTCCTGGACTGGGAGATCTGAGGGACCCTGGGCTTGGGGGAGGAGGGGGATGGAGTGGGGAAACAGGAATTCAAGGAAATTAGTACGAGGGAGAAAGTTGGAGGATACCTGGTATTCTAACACGTGTACCAGAGTCCCGAAAGAGGTAACTGTGGATGTGGAGATAGCGGAATCATGGATAATAGTGTTTCAACATTTTGGGGAGTGGTTCCCACAGACTGGAAGGTATCAAATCTCACCCGGCTATTTGAGAAGAAAGGGAGGGAGAAGGAAAACGGGAACAGACGGAATTGTTAGCCTCCCGTTAGTCACAGGGAAAATACTGATGTGTAATGTGAAGGATGTGGCAGGGGAATTGAGTTTAAGAGCTGCGAGGTTATGCTGCAGCTCTATAAAACCCCGGTTAGACCACACTTGGAATATTGTGTTCAGTTCTGGTCGCCTCATTATAGGAAGGATGTGGAAGCTTTAGAGAGGGTGCAGAGGAGATTTACCAGGATGCTGCCTGGGCTGGAGGGCAGATCTTATGAGGAAAGGTTGAGGGAGCTAGGGCTTTTTTCATTGGAGCGAAGAAGGATGAGAGGTGATTTGAAAGAGGTGTACAAGATGATGAGAGGCATAGCTAGAGTGGATAGCCAGAGACTTTTTCCCAGGGGCGGAAATGACTATTATGAGGGGGCATAATTTTAAGATGATTGGAGGAAGGTATAGGGGAGATGTCAGAGGTAGGTTCTTCACACAGAGTGGTGGGGCGTGTGTGGAATGCGCTGCCGGCAGTGGTAGTGGAGTCAGATACTTTTAAGCGACTCTTGGATAGGCACATGGAGGATAGTAAAATGTAGGGTATGCAGGGTAGATTGATCTTAGTAGGATAATAAGTCGGCACAACATCATGGGCCAAAGGGCCTGTACTGTGCTGTACTGTTCTATGCTCTATGCTATGCTTTATCATTACAATAGCAAACACTTCAATATGACAGGAGGTGATTATTGTATAATTGCGGTATATTGTACAGACAATTGCACAAAGGAATGGGCCAATGAGTCCAAATAAGGCTGTTATCATTAATACACCCATCCTCTTAGCACAGAACTTTTAACTTTTTTTCTATCCAAGTGCAACCAACTGATTCAGCTGCAAGTATGATCTTGAATGTCTTATTATTACAAAAGTAATGCTTGTCTAATTGACAATGTTCTATGAAGGGTGAACCAGATGTGCACTGCAAGCAAAAGGTATTCATTGAGAGGACCAATTGTGGTCTGGTCTGACAGTCTACACAAAGGAGAAGTGGTGGTATTGTCACTGGGCTAGTAATCCAGTCACATGTCTTAAGGACATTGTTCAAATTGCAGTGCAATTTGAATCGAAAGGGAAAATCTAAAATTAAAAATCTAGTCCGTGTAATTGCTGTTAAAAGATAATCTGTTTCATTAATGTCCTTTAGGGAAGAATATCTGTCAACCTTACCTGGTCTGGCCTACATGTGACTGCAGTGCCACAGTAATGTGGTTGACTCTTAACCGTCCTCTGAAACTTAGCTCAAGGGCAATAAATGCTGGCCCAGCCAACATCCAACGAATAAACGAAAAAAAAAGTCTCAGGCCAAGTCTATCAGCCAGATCTGAGCAATTGATTTGCTGTTATGTTTCTTTTGGAGGACCTAAAGTCTTTCTCATCAATTGTTTTCTTTCCTTGTATCAGTCTCCTTCAGTTGAGGGCTCACTGGTATCCGAAAATGCAATCTTCAATTAGAAGCAAAATCTTATTGGCCTGGTTTAGTCTTCCATTCTCCTGTGCAATTTGAAGGAAGGCATTAGAAACTGGGATTTCAGTGAAGTGAAACCCCTTGACATCTATGCCCTGGAAATTCTAACTCTTAAAGTGCTCAATCTTTGAAACTATCAGTTGCTGTTAAATCATTTTACCAGTTGAAGTTCTTACCTTGCATCTAGGAAAATTAGTTTGAGATCCAGACTGGCTCTGAACATGAACATGTTGCTGTGAAGTTTGATTTCTGTGATAGCACTGGGTGGGAGTGAATGTCCCACTGCCACCAGTCCCACAATCTGGTAGCAGCCATCATAGAGAGTAACGTCAAATACATACTGGCGGATTTTCAAATAGCCACTGCAGTGGATTACCTATAGAGAAGGATAATTTCAGTTGATTTATGCATAGTGAAAATATTTTCTAAACACACAGAAGAGTCTAAGCAAATGAAACTGATGTGTTTCACTCAAGGAAGCTGAAAGTGGGAACTTTATCAAAGAATACTAAACCGTACACTTACTTTCACACTAACTTGTCCCACAATCTATTTAGCAACAGAAAACTGCCAAAAAAAGGGCAGTCCAGGTGCTGAAGTGCATTGCCGTGCCAATATGGTTCAGTACGGACAGAACACAATGTACGTTCACAATTGTAATTGCCGGCCATGTCTTTGGGAGGAGATTTCTGTTCACCATTTGAGTATACGATAATCTGTAGCAGGGAGATGGAGAGATACCAAAAAGACAGATATCTAACCCATGATCTTCATGTTGTTATTCGTGAAAAAATGTTGACACCCGCCCCCCCACACATTACCAGTGATATTCCTCATTTTGATCAATCAAAATTAGAAAAAAATGGATAAAAATGGTAAGCATAAAGAATCTAGTGCATTAAATAATTTTCTTCTTAATTGTTGAATTAGGCCTTTAAAAAAATCCAATGCACCTTTGACTTAATGTAATTGAAAGTTGCTTGGGAAATGCAGGCAGATGGTTGGATGATTCCTGCTAAATGATGGTTGCTGGGATAGGGGAATGTCATGCCAAGGTCAGCAGCCTGGTCAGGATCAATAATGCAGAACATAATGTTAAATAGACACTTTGGAGTTCTGCATTTTGAGAACAGAAGAAAGTTTACGAAAACTTTTTGGGGAAAATGGATTACATCGGCTCCATGGTAATGAACTTGCATTTATATAACGTCTTAACTCAGCTCTCAAATCATTTTGAAGTTCTTCTTATAGAATGAATTATATTGTGTGGTTACTGTCACTTTATGCCTAAAATAGATTGCCTGCAAAAGGAATAGGCTTGATGGCTCTATTCCCTTCTTGTTTTATTCCATATAACTTTCAGATGTAATCAAACTTTTAAGGTAACATTAGTGCCTCCCAGGTGCCAGGCAATGACCATCTCAAACAGGTGGAATCTAGCAATCACCCCTTGATGTTCACTGGCACTACCATTGCTCAATATCCTACTGTAATTCTGAGTTACCATTTACTAGAACTGAACTGGACCAACCACATAAATGCTGTAGCTACATAGCTGCTCAGAGTCTAGGAATTCTGTGGTGAATAATTCACCTCTTGTCTCCCCCAGTGCCTTTCTTTCATCTACAAGACACAAGTCAGAAGTGTGATGGAATACTGTCCACTTCCCTGAATGAGCAGTGCTCCAACACTCAAGAGGTTTGACACCATTCAGGACAAAACAGCATGCTTATTGGCGTCCCATCCACCACCTTCAACATTCACTCCGTGCATCACGATGTGAAGTAGCATCAGTGTACACCATCTATAAAATGCACTGCTGTGACTTGCCATAGCTCCTCTGACACCAACTTCCTAACCTATAACCACTGCTGTCAAGAAATACATGGAGATGGGAACACCATCACATGCAAGTTCTCCTCTAAGCTATTCACCATCCTTCAATGTCACTAGATCAAAATCCTGGAACCTTCTAATAGCACAATGGGTGTACTCACACTCCAGGGACTGCAGTGGTTCAAGGAAGCAGATCTCCATCACCTTCTCTAGGGCAATTCACATCCCATGAATGAATAATTTGTTTAAAATTGGCAGGGATTTTTGCATAAAATCCAATATTTAACCAAATGATCATCTTAGAATTGCCCAATTCTCACTTAAGTTAACTTATTTTCTGATTAGTACAACCCCAACTTCATCCCTGTTTTATTCTTTTGCGGCTTACTGTTTCAACTCCACAAATGTTCGAGACAGCATGTCCACTATAATTCCTTCTTAGTTATGCTCATTTTCTCTATTCTGTGTTTATTAATCTTGCTTCAAAATAACTTTGATTGTTCTTCTTTGTTGTCTCTCAGCTTTCTTTATTTGTTTGTTCATCAAGTTCTGTTTCAACATTGAGCTCAGCACGTTTCTGAGGAAAGATTTCTAGAACGGGTTTGATTTGCCTTACTTGTAAATCAAGTCAACTGAGTTATTTTGCAGGATTCCACTTCCCTTCTATGGATGGAATGCATACATTGAAAAATCCACTTACCCAAAAAAGAAGTCAATAAAAGGGAATAATCCCATAATATACAAAAACTTCGTTGTAATCGGAAGTCTAAGCCTGTCGTATGGTGTAGTATAAAAACAATTTAAATTGTCAGATGGTTTCCATTCAGCTATTGATACTGAAAGGTATTTGTTTGAACTGTCAATTACTCCTATTCATAAGGAAAACTATCCAAGATCCATGTAGACTCTGTTGTTTAATGCACTGCCTAAAGTGAAATTGAACCACACAAAGGATTAGTTTCCATCCAGACATTTACTGATTTAACCAATTCAACTCAGGTGTTGGCAATCATACTATAATTGAACATTTGTGGCCCTTGCCTAAATTAGCCACAATACCAATTATTGATTGGCGTTCAGTGACCTTGATGGAAAATGTGTGTGCGAGTGTGTGTATCTGAGTGTATGGTCACAAACATAAAACTGCCACAGGCCATGTGGAGCTCTGCAACATGGGGTCCAGTGAAAATCATAGTCAGGTGGAATGCATAGCATCACTTGGTTTTGTAACTCTGCTTGCATGCTGCAGTTACTCATCTCAGGCTACAATTGAAGTTTGCATACCCTATGTGTTTATAGCTGACATTCAGTCCATGGGAGATAGAAGAAGTAATTTTAATTTTTGGTGACTGGGTAGACTGGGTCGACTGGGTCATTGTCCGTTTCAACTCTATTCTCTCATTGAAGTCCAACCCAAAAGGCAGAGGTGACATTATAGACTACAAAAGTATAACGCACGCATGTTCCTTGTTATTGAAATTCCTTAGCTTGTTGTTCTATAGAACATATAAAAGTGTTATGATTGATTTTTCACTGACAGGGACATCATAGCAGTGTCTATTGGCAGCTGTCTGTCATTGAGCTGTGTAATATAACAAGCTGTTATCTTGGGATTTGTTTATTGACTGTTGCAAATATCACTGACCAGCTTTATTAAACATATTTATGAAAAAGGCTGGGCATATGGTGTTGGCTGGACATTCTGTCCATTCCATAGCTAGAACAAAGACTGATGAAAATGAGGAAAGTAACAATTTTATCTCAGCCGTTATAGCAAACCATGGAAGAAAGTGCAAAGTTAAATTAAGTGATAGAGATCAAAGGTCTGACAAGTTCCATATTGGTAGGATAGAAATTTGTTGGAAATAAGTTTTTTTAATTCTTTCATGGCAGGTGAGCGCTAAATTAATTTACTAATTAATTTATTAAATTAAACCGATATATAAAAAACTCTTCATAATCCTTGCCAAAGTTGTGCCTGAAATGACATTCCATCTCCATTAATATTGTCAAGAATGGAAAACTGGTTCTCCTTAGATTAATCTTCAGGCTACTAAATTCTCATCCTTGTAGTGAATAGCCCAGGTTCTAAATTTTTCTTCATATTAATAGTGATCAATATGTTGTCATTAAATTTCATTGATATAGGTAAAAATCAGTATCAAGATTCATAATGTGCCAAGCTTTCCGACTTCAGTATCAACATAACTGATGGAGGGCAGGCTGGAGAAATAATCTTTTTACATGTGTGAAGCTGGCATGGTACTTCAGGAGGCTTTCCTGGCATTTCCCTCTGACTTTCTCTTTCTTTTTAAGTTCTGAAGAATCAAACTTTTGCCGTTATCTAAACTCAACAGTCCAACTTCATCCAATTGGCAACAGTCAGTTATATTGATAGGAGGTGACTCAGAGCTGGACACAATCCCTTCCAAATGTTTATTTTCATGCCGGATGGTTACAAGGAACATGATCCAAAACTGATCTTCCACAGGCTAGATACAAGGATTCAATGCAAACAGCTAAAATCATACAGAGCAAGGAATCAAACTTTTCAAAGTGCATCTCTCCACTGAAACATCCAGAAAGAAATGGAGAAAGGAATCAGATTACATTACATTAGTGACATTACAATACTTAAAATTCAGTTGAAGGATAAATTCACAATGAATATTCCTGTTTATTTTGTATTAGCAGCTGCACCTTCAACTGCTCTAAAAATTGTTAGACTTCTCTGCCTCTTTACCTCTTTCCTCCTCTTAAGACTCCTTAAAACTAACATCTTATCTTTCCTAATATCTTCTGATGTGACCCAATGTTACTAATGCTCACGTGATGTGCCTCAGACCATTTTATTACATGGAAAGCACCATATAAATGCAAGTTGATTGCTGTTGTAGCTTAAAGCATTAAGTAAAAATATTGTGATATTATTTTGCCTTATTCCCTGAAAAAAAGACTTGTCCTCCTTCTGGAGCTGCAGCATAAGACAGCCAAAATGTCATCTCAATTATCCCAAAACGAAAACTCATATACTTATAAATTAGGCTATGAGAAATCTGAATGTTAGAATTTGAGTACAATTCTTTCAATGATTGTTTACAGTTTCTTACCTTGTAACCACCACAAGTCAAACCTGCATTTCTTTTGGCCAGAACACATTTCATCCTTAGAAAGAAGGAACGCTCAATTTCATATTCTGAAAAGGAACATCAAAAAATGTTATTATACCTGAGCTTTGAAACCTTATAAACTATGCAGTGTTATTACACAAGATGCCCTGAATTATTGTAGCCATGTAAAAAAAAAGAACCAAGCTGTCTTTTAATATAAAATTTATTACTTGTTCTGGGATGTGACTGATGGCCAGATTTATTGCCCATCCTTAGTTCTGCTGAGAAGTGTTGCTGGGCTTCTTGTTAAAATATGCAGCAGGAAAGAGTCTTACTGTACAAGGTATTCAAGATTATGTTGCTTTGAGAGCAACATTTGGATTTATTCCTTGAGGTTGTAAATACACATGTTTTATTGGGTTCTGAATCCCTTACATTTCGAAAAGTAGATAAACTTTTTTTAAAAAATTGAAACATTACAACCAAATCAATCAGAATGTAGCTGCAGTGTGCAGAAATCCATGTTGGGGTGCAGGAGTATTGTGTGTTTTGGTGAAAACTGGGCATTTGATGTGTGCAGGAGATTGTGTCCATTCTGTAGCTAGAAAAAAAAACTGATGCATATGTGGAAGGTAATAATTTTATTTCATGGCTGTTACAATGAACCATGGAACTGGGTAGTAATGATTGTAACAAGGTCAGCCAGGTGGACCTCATGGAATAGCAGTTCCCTGATTGGGACTGTCAATCTGCTCCAAACAGGGAGCCTGGCTCACAAATAAAAACAGGAGTGTCAGACATCCTTACACTCTGAGAGAGCTGGGTCAGTGTCAAAGACTTTCCACATATAAATAAAGGGTGACTTGGTGACTTGGTGACAGGGCATTGGTCTCTGTGGAGTTATTTTGGGTACAAAGTGTAAATTAAGTGATAGGGAAAATTGAGCTGAGCATTTTCAAAGGTTTGATGTGGTGCATTTTGTTAGGTGAGAAATTTGTTGGAAGTAATTTTTTTTAAATTCTTTCATGGCATGTCAGCATCACTGTCAAGGCCAGTATTAGGAATACTTCAAAGGGTGAAAACAAACAAGCTTGTTTTCTTCAGGGGGTATCCAATATAAAGTTTGTGATCTCAAAATTAGTGATAAACCAGTTAAGAGTGAAACCAAGAATCATTTTTGCACACAAAGGTTATCATCAATGTTGGATATTTTCTTAAAAGATTACAGATGCTGGAACTGAAATGGTTCATAATGAGATTTATTGCATAAGAGTATAAGGAATATGGAACAAAGGGAGTTAAAATACAGATCAACTAATCATCCAATATGATGGTAGGATAGGCTTGAATGTTTAGATAGTCTGCATATGTTTCTGAAGAGACTCCAACACAATGAGCTGAGCTTCCTTTCTGTAAATAAATTTAAATGTTTCTTTACTTTGGATTTCTTAATGCTGTGGGAAGCTAAAGTTATCTAAAACAAAAGCAAAATACTGCAGATGCAGGAAATCTGAAATAGAAACAGAAAATGTCAGGAATTCTCAGCAGGTCAGGCATTATCTGTGGAGAGAAAAACAGTTAATGTTTGAGGTTGATGATCTTCCATCAGAACTGGAAAGTGTTAGAAATATAATAGGTTATAAACAAGTAAAAAGGTGCAAGTCTAACATGTGTTGTACTGTGACAAGTAAAGAAACAAAAAATAGGTGTAGAAGAGATGTGAATGGTAGAATGATGAATATCTGCCACCCAAACAAAAGGAGAGGAAAACAAGAAAGTAAAACTATGATAGGGAAACTAAATGAGGTCAAAGGCTATGGTTTCAAATTGTTGAACCCAATGCTAAGAAAGTTTGTAAAATGCCTAACTGAGAGATAAAGTTTTATTCCTTGCATTTGTATTGAACTTCATTGGAGCATTGCAGAAATCCATGGATTGAAGGTGTCAGCATGGTAGAAAGATTGAGAATTAAAATAACAGCCTGGCTTTGTCTGATGTTTTGGTTTTCTCTTTTCTTCTTTTCTCTTTCAGGTGCCAACTCACACTTCCTCTAGACTTTATATCTTTGCTTGTTCCACTATTTGCACGGCCAACTAATTTGTTCTTTAATCTCTCTCGTATTCCATTCTATCATAGGCCTTCTCTTTTGCCCATATCCCACTCTCCTCTTTTCACTTGCTTGAAATATATTACAATTCAAACTCTTCTCAACTCTGATGAAAGGTCACTAACCTAAAAATATTAACCCTTCTCCTCTTCACTGACCTGATCTACTACTTCCAGCACTTTTTCTTTTAACTTCTAGTTTGTTTCCGGTAAAAGCAGAAGTTTTAAGAACATCTCTTTCAACAACTTCAAATGAGTTAGATCCTTTCCAGAGATGTTCATACTGACATCAAATTCAGACCAAACCAGTTCTTTCATATTTCAAGAAAAATGTGGCTGTAACATGGGAGTTTGAATATTCCACGAAATTAAGAGCACGTGTGTGTACACTTTTCAGTCCCTTTAATGTTAATTTTATTCACCTTCTTTCGGATTGTGTCCATTCCTGAGGGGACATTGCTGGGGTTTTAGTTCCATGAACTTAGTGTGACTGTACTATTAGAACAAAGAGTTGACCTGCAACAATATCTCTGTTACAAAATGCCATCAGGTGATTGCCAACATAAGCATTATATGATATATGAAAAAAAACTTCAGTATGATCACAGTTTATTGTGCCCTTGTTGTGCTATAAATTTCATGCCTCAGAGATCATAAATATGGCAAGAAAATCAAAAGTCCCAATTTATAAGCATCAAAACCAAGTTGTGCCCTGCTTGCACTGCTTTCATAGAATCCCTACAATGTGGAATCAGGCCATTTGGCCCAACGAGTGCACACTGGCCCTCTGAAGAGCATCCCACCCAGACCCAACCCCCAAACCTATAACCCTATATTTCCCATGACTAATCCACCTAGCATGTACATCCCTCGACACTATGCGCAAGCTAGCATGGTCAATCCACCTAATCTGCACATTTTCACTGAAATGAAATCAAGATAATATATTGGCCATAACAATGGTTCCAACATAGCCTAAGCTGCCTAAATGCCTTGCAGGCCAATTTGTAAATTTGCTTAAAATTTAAAACAAATGTGTCTGTAAGTGTTCAACTTGACTGTTACTACCAAGCTCCATTAAGTAATAACAACCTCATCAGAGGGACTTCTGCCAGTTACAAAAGCATTTGAAAAGCTTGAAATTTCACTGAGCTAAAATGTTGGTCTTCTAGTGCAAATAGTTGTCCACCACCAAGTGCAGACTGACACTTTCTAATGACCCAGATTATGTGCTGAGCAATGCACTCAAGGTTGGAACTGCTGCTGCAGAGGTGCAGTGGGCTAAGGCGACCAATTTAAACTGTGATAAACCCCTCAAGCTATGTGCTTGATGTGCAATGAACGTTGTAAATATCGAATGAAATTGTATGTGTAATATACAATATTGAAAGAAAGTGATTAGTTTGGCATTTTATGTAATGTCAGTTTTGAACGTTCATATATTGCACTTTTGTGAATTTTATGAATAAAAGAATCTTTCAAAAAATGCACAATGTTTTTATGTACAATGAAATAGTAAGCCTGTATTTTATAAGAAGATTTATAATTTTATACTGTGGACTGTATGCTTAAGTTTTTTTTGTTAAACATTGCTTATATAAATGGTATATTTTTAAATTTTGAGGTAAGAAAATATAAATTAAATAAATAAGATGAATCTAGGCTGTACATGATCTGACGCAAAAAGGCCAAAAAGGATTTGAAGGGGAAGCTAGACATGTACCAGAGAATAGAAGGAATATTCTTTTAAGGTTAGATGAAATGGAGCTGGGGAGGACTTGAAGCATAAATACAAGTAAGACTGCATGGCCTGTTTCTATACAATACAGTCCATGTAAGTCTATTCGTTCCATGTCTTACCCGACCCAAACAACTTGCAGTTTTGTTACTTGGCTCATTCCTGTAAAAATGTTGTCCATCTATATCTGTATTACATAAATGTTTCCAAGGTATAAATGTACCATTATTTTCTTTTTTATTCATTTGTGGGATGAGAATGTTGAAGGCTGGCCAGCATTTATTGTCCATCCCTAGTTGCCCTTGAGAATATGGTGGTGAACTATGTTCTTGACCTGCTGCAGGCCACCTGCTGTGGGTTGACCCACAATGCCATTAGGGAAGGAATTCCAGGATTTTGACCCAGCAACAGTGAAGGAACGGTGATATATTTCCAACTCAGGTTAGTGGGTGGCTTGGAAGGGATCTTGAAGTGCTGGTGTTCTCATTTATCTGCTGCCCTTGTCCTTCTAGACGGAAGTGGTTGTGGGTTTGGAAGGTGTTGTCTGAGGATCATTGGTGAATTTCTGCAGTGCATTTTGTGGATAGTACACACTGCTGCTACTGAGCGTCGGTGGTAGAGGGAGTGGATGCTTGTAGATGTAGTGCCAATCAAGCGGGCTGCTTTGCCCTGGATGGTGTCAAGCTTCTTGAATGTTGTTGGGGCTGCACTCATCCAGGCAAGTGGAGATTATTGCATCACACTCCTGACTTGCTTCTTGTAGATGGTGGACAGGCTTTGGGGAGTCAGGGGGTGAGTTATTCGCTGCAGTATTCTTAGCCTCTGACCTTCTCTTGTAGCCACTGTGATTATATGATGAGTCCAGTTGAGTTTCTGGTCAATGATAACCCCCAGGATGTTGACAGTGGGAGATTCAATGATGGTAACACTAATTAATGTCAAGGGGCAGTGGTTAAATTGTCTCTTATTGGTGTTAGTTACAGCCTGGCATTTGTGTTGCACGAATATTACTTGCCATTTGTCAGCCCAAGCCTGAATATTGGTCTCCATAATGCCCCTTTTGCATAGGCATTAAATTTGAGGAAACAATACCTTAGAGTCCTTTAGTTTTTTAGAGACTGCAAGTATCTGATTTTGTACAAGCTATGTCTGTTGATCTTAAAAGTTTATTCACATCAGATTCCAATTTAACTGAAGAAAATTAAAATATTGTGGATGCTGGAAAGCTAAAATAGGAACAGA